CTCAATATGACCCAACCCAAGTTGAATTAAATTGGGCCTGCAATGGAACTCTCATAAGCCCAAAACTCTAGCAACCCAAAATTAGGTAAACAAGATCCTGACACGTGGAAATATCTGGACCTTAGAATATGGCGCCAATGACGGTAGGAAACATAATCACATGCCATTTCAACTTTGCGTCAGATTCCGAGACATGCGTCGTGGACCCCACATTTTTTTCCCTCGACAAGAATACCGGTTACCGATTCTCCCGGTTTACCATCCACTGGAATCCAACGAAAAACCGTAAATAAAAACCATATAAACAAAATACCTTCCATTTTTACAACTTTCATCCTTTAGTTTTTGCATTATTCTCGTAACGAATTATTGTAATTGTGAGATTTTTTATAGAAAATCTTTTTGTTTAATTCTCTCTCTCTGCGCACGGCTCTCTTTCGAGAGATCTTTTCGTTTGAGGCTGTTCGCAGAGAGAGTAAGAAAAAATTAAGAATTAATTTAATTTAAAAAGAGAAAAAACAACAAAAATGGGAATGGGATCTGGTAAATTGATGTTTGGTTTCGTTTTAGTATTTGTTCTCTCGATCATTTTGCCTGCTGTTCAGGGACAAGAAGGTTTTGCTCCGACACCGGCTCCGACCAGCGACGGTTAGTGTTTTTTTTTTTTTTTGTATTGTAGTTTCTTTTTTGCTTTTAATGGTGATTCATGATTTGGATATATATACCTGGGGGATCTAGGATTAGGTAATTTTTCATATCTGTATTGAAAAAATTCGAGTAAATTGAAGCATTTGATTATATGCTTAATCCGCCCATTAATATTTAGCCAATTATACATTTGGTCGGTCGGCCAAAAAATAACTTTATTTACTAGCAACTAACAAAAAAATATACTTATGTATAAAATATATTTTTTAATATTATACATTAATATACCAAATTATATATTTTACCGGTTATTATTTTTTATAGTGGTTATACTTTGTAGTTCTCTCTTAATGTTTAGTGAGAGGTATTTAGGAATTTATTGGTTCAACCTCTTACTATTGAGCTTATTATACATTTGAAATTGTGGTTTAAAATATTCTTTTTTAAAGTTGAGTTAGTATGAATATATATTTATGTTCCGTGTCAAAAATATGAGTTCGGTTGAATGCGTTGATTGCATACTCAATTTGTTAATTAATATTTAGTTCGAGTTAAAGACAATAGACTACTTTTATGATTGATTTTTCATGTTAAGCTAGCTTTTTGTTTGGAATAAGATATAATGTGGGATCCATATATGGATGTTCTATATATGTATAGTGTTTAAAAATAAACACTTATTTTAAAGATCTTAATATGTTTGACCAAGCTTTAGATGAAAAAGATAAGTGGTTTTGAATAGTAGTTCGTTCGTTAACTTTTTAATTGTCTATTTTAGATTTTTCACGCCTCTTAAAAAGCAATGATTGACATGAGTATCTTACTACAATAACCCTATTAATTGATTTGCTGGGCTTGTTGTTGTTAACCCTATTAATTGATGTTTAGTCTCTATAATTGAAACCAAATTCCCACACGTAATTATAGTAGCCAATATGAAGTTCCAAGGTTCAACATTAATTTTTTATAAATATCAGCACTTTACAGCTCATCTATCTCTTTAGTTTAAAAGCTATCTTCATCTCTTTGTTTGAATCTTTAATTTTAATATTATTTGGATCTTCAATCATTTTAAGTAAGTCCTTTACTTCAATATTTGTGGAAATTTTAAGTGTTTTCTTCAATATGTTGTTCACATCTTCGTCCATTTTTTAAATGTGATGCTCACAAATTTTTTGACTAATCGGAGAGTAAAAGAAAAAACATATAAGAAAAAAATACTCTAAAGAAGTGAACAAAGATTAAGTGGAGTTTTGTGTTAACTAATCAATCCCGATATTAAGCATTGGTTAGCTAAAATTGACTATTAACTTTCCAAGAAGTCTTGGTAAATAAATTAATGGTAAAACAGGAAAAAAAATGTCTTTCTCTTGATATACTAAAAGTGACAAGGAAAAATGAAAATGCATTTTTAGAATATTAGACAACTACTCACTCCATTCACATTTAGTTGTTCAATATTTTGAAAATATATTTTCATTTTTACTTGTAATTTAGCATATCAGAGACGATAATTTTTTCCCTTGTTTTAACCTTAATTCATTTATCAAGACTTGTTGAAAAGTTAATGGTCAATTTTAGTTAATCAAGGCTCAATATTGGGATTGACACAAAACTCTACTTAAAGTCATCTTTTGTTCTCTTCTTTGAATATTTTCTTTTCTTCAAAAGTTTTTTTTTAACGCTCCAGTTAGTCAAAAAAAATTGCGAGCATCTCATTTAGGAAATGGACGAAGATGTGAAAAATATATTGAAGTTCCACTTGAAATTTTCACAAATATCAAAGTAGAAGACTTACTTAAAATAATTGAAGATTCAAAAAATATTGAGGTTAAAGATTCAAAAAAGAGAGATGAAGATCAAACTTTTAAACGGAAGAGATTGACGAGTTGTAAAGTGTCGGTATCTATAAAAAATTAATGTTGGAACTTCATATTAGCTATAATAATTACGTATGAGAATTGGTTTCAATTATTGACTAGGTATCAATTAATAGGGTTATTGTGGTAAAAATACTCATGTCAATCATTGTTTCTTAAGGGGCATAAAAAGTCTATATGAACAATTAAAAAGTCTATATTTTCCAAATTTCAGTGCCAATACTTATTTATCATACTCTACTTTATTGTTCTCTCCTCGTCAAACTTTATTTGTTCCAAAATATTTCCTGCATTTATCACCTCTTTTTTTTTTTCAAACTTCTCCTTACGACTTCAACTAGTAGAGTGATAATCACGTGATACGTTTACGAAAAAAATAAAGGGTATTTTAGCTTAGGCAAAGACTATTACATGCCTTATATCTTGTTGTTGTTATTGTTTCTTTTTCCATGGCTTCTTCGCTACCATATTTCTTTTCATACTGTTGTGATTATGATTATCTTGAACCGATGGTCTATTCGGAAATAGCCTTTCTACCTGCACAACATAGGAAGGGTAAGGTCTGCGTACCCTCTACCCTCCCCAAGCTAAACTTGTGAGATTATATTGGGTATGTTGTTGCAAAGACTTTTAAATGTCTTTCTTAACAAATGTGTAACTGCCTTGAAACATAAATCTATGTTTTCTTATACAATAGTAAGCATGAAAGTGAGCTGGCCAGGACATCACGATTATTAAGAAAATTGAAAGCATGAAAGTAATTGTTATTGCAGGTACAACAATTGACCAGGGGATTGCATGTGTATTAATGTTGTTGGCTTTGGCAGTGACATATCTTGTTCATGCAGCTGATGTTCCTTTTAATTAACTTCTAAAAAACCAATGGATTTATTGAAGATCATTCGTATTGAGAGTGCCTAGGTTATGGAATTTGTACAAGGTTTTTTCTTGTAATTTGTATTATACCTAGGACGCATGAAATTTTTAGTCATCTTTGTTTAGGATTCTAACTTCGACAAGCTATCTATTTTGAGAATCCGACAATATTTACATATTCTTGGTTTAGCTATTCATTATTCCGCATATTGTCTTATTCTTATACTATGGATAATAAGAGGAAACTAAAATGTGAATATGTGATCATCCAGAAATTGGTAAACGTTTTATGTATTCTTTGATTATTATTAACATCGTTGGAATGTTATTATTTTGTACTTAAACTTCTAATTCAAAGAGTAGCGGAGTAGTTTAGTGATTTGCTTTAAAAATCTTAAAACTCAATAATTGAACCTTAGTAAGTGTTGAAGAAGACAAAGCGTCGGTCGTCTTGATTTTATGTTACTATTTGATTAAATTGGTGATCGGGGATTGTTTTTGTAAGTACTTGGACGCTTTGTTTCAGATTTAAGATTATTCGAAACAGATATAGGTGGTTTGATCGAAATTGAATTACAAATTCCAAGAACACTTTTTTGAACACCACAAAAAAATTATGCAAAAGGTTAACTTCAAATGAACAATTTAACGGATAGCGACTGCAAATAACACAAAATCATAGCAATCTGATTGAGTTTAATAAACAATTGAACAAACACAAAATCATGTCAAATACAATATTTAAATTTAAAGAACACTTGCTTTATAGACAGTTCTACTTCTCTTAACTACCGAGATTAGTTAGTCTTTCTTATTTTTAATTGTTAGAAAAGTGATAAGAAGACAAAGAAGATTGTTGTCTGCATGTACCAGATGTTGTTTGTTTAATTTTTGTTAATCTAACATTCTAACTACAGTTTGTAGTTCCTTTTTTCTTTTGCGTATATTGTTTTTAATTTTAACACATGTTGTAGTTTCTGCATTTTAGCTATACTCATTATTCTGCATATTGTCTTATTCTTATACTACGGAGATGAAGAGGAAACAAAATGTCAATATGTGATCATCTAGAAGTTGGTACCCGTTTTATGTATTGTTTGTTTAACTACTCATTATCAGCACATGTATTCGGTTGCAATTTTTATGACAGCAATTTGTCTTAACACGACGAAGTTTAAGAAAAAATAAATAAAAATATAAAATCTATAATCCTAAACATATCATAATATTTGTGTGGCTATAAAAACTTCTCACTAAGGTAAAATGAGCAAAATGAAATGTTTAAGGTTAAATTATTTCTAAATATACAAATTTCTCATTCTTTTTGGAACAAACTAATAAGGAGTGTATCACATAAATTGGAACGAAAGGAGTAACTTGGCGGCCAGTCGACCATCATTTTACTTCCAATTGGATTTGCAATTTTTTTTTGTGTGTGTGTGTGGAGAAGAACCAGAAAAATATTCAAGTTCTATTTTTCTTGTTATTCTCCAGACACATCAAGTTTTAAGGCTTTGGACTGCTTCACATATATGAGAGGTCGCTTAGTGCAGATACCAATGGTTAAAATGCTTACCACTTAGAACCCATCCAACAGAATTTCAAAACCATTTAATCTTACTAACATAAGGAAAATTAAGTGTTTTACAGAGGCCACAATTCAACCTTTCCCTTGAGTTAATTATGCATAACACAATTTCTTAATACATCATAGATAAAAACCAAATACTTGTGTTTCAGCAACTAACCCATGGCATATTTTTGAGTCCAGCTCCGAGCAGTGGCTTCATACTTGCTTTTATCAGTCTTGTACATATGAGCAATCTCGGGCACCAAAGGATCATCAGGATTAGGGTCTGTTAGAAGAGAACAGATAGAAAGCAACACCTGCAAGGAACATATACAAAATAATCAGATTTCTTCACATGCTATCTGCACTTTGATAGATCAATTTACGGTAGCTGCAATTGAAACAAATAAAGCACGATTTGATCAATGTATTCCCTTCTTTTAGCTTTCTAGAGAACAAGTACACTCTCAACAAAAGGAAAACTGTATTGCACGCTCCATTGAGATTGGTCGAATGGGAGGACAACTAGATAAATAGCCATATACATGTAAAAGTCATACTGATCCAGAATACATTGACATTCTTAGATCATTTCATCCTACTAGACAGAATTTTAGTCCTTGAAACTCTTGGGATGTAAATAAGCAAAGAAGATCAAATGGCTCTGAAACTATATCAAGAAATAACCTTGGATATTGTGAGTGCCGGGCTCCACTGTTCCTTCAAAATGTCGAGGCAAATGCTACCATTGCTGTTGATGTTTGGGTGAAAAACCTTTGTCCTAAAAGCTACCTGCAGATAGTTTCGTCTATAAGTTGTGAAGCTTTCCCAGGGTTAAAATTATTTAAAAAAAAAAAAAAAGGAAGGCATAGAAGTGAAACAGCCAAAAACTATGTACTTTTAAAATGAATCTAAGAGCACACTAAGTCCACTTCTAAAAAATTACATGAAGAACTCAACCCAACATAGGATTCTGGATGGAATAAAGCAAAACTGTTAACTAGGAATCCGACAAAAAGAAGACTTTCAGTTCGCCCTCTAGTTAAGGGTTCAATATAGTACTCACGAGGGGAATGTTCATGATGAAATTAACAAAATGCATTTCCTCAGACTTGAGGAACTGAAAGCAATGGACCAAGTGATTTGTACACCAATAGCAAAGAGCATAGAGAATTCCAAGATCTCATAATATGGCTCAACGCAACATCAACCAAAAGGGAAATCTACGTCGTCCTTCTCAGTCTTTTACATGATAGTGGTATCCGGACCAGCTTGCAAACGTACTTCGACTGATTAACCAAGCAGCCAGCTACTAGCACACAAACACAGGTGCGCGGTAAACCTGCCTACCAATGTTGGAGCAGATTGGCCCACATTGAGTGGTGCAGCTCGGATTTAAAGCTAGCATCTCCAAGTTCATATTCATGTGCCTCAAACACTCACCAATCTCCTTGGGCTAAATCCAAGTCATTCTTCTTAAACTTGCACATCATATTGCCATCGTCCTCCCCCAGTTCGTGACTTCAGTGGATTCCACACAAGCAAAGCGGGAGCAAAGACAGCTAGAAAACCACTTGACTAATTAAGCAAGCCAGCAAATCACGCTCTTTCTTGTCATTGCTCATTATTACAGGAATGCAGTGCATATTTCAGCAGCTTTTAAGTATATTATATCGAATCTATGCCTCAGAACTTCAGCAAGTACTGGAGTGCAGATACCCAAATAAGAAAACAAGACAACTCATAGGCAGCTGTTACCATCACTACCGTGTTAACAAAATGCAGATACTCAGAAAAAAGTTGTGCTTTCGTATTGGCCGGTCTATAAGGTTTTAGAATCAATTAACTTAACTTTTATGGCATGACTAATACCTATAAATTAGAGCTTTATGGAAGGCCCATTCACACAATAGTTTTGATTGATATAGTGGAAGAAAGCAGCTCTCTCCCTAGCAAATGAGCTCTAACATCTGTACTTGGCTTAAAATATTGTTGTGAACAAAGACATATGAAACCAATTGATATATTATAATTGCAAGATTTAGGAATAGTACATTGATGAGCAAGCAAATAACTTATCAGGTGAGTTATCAAGAAATGTATGTAATGGCATGCCATAGATGGGATACCTTTGGAGGCTTAAATGGATAATCAGGTGGAAAATGAATGGTAACAAGAAACACTCCGCCAGCATAAGGACTGTCAGATGGACCCATAAGTGTTGCTTGCCAGTGAAACATATCTTCAGCAACTGGGCCTGATACAAGAAACAGCAGAATGATCAGAGAACAATGTTCCACATGTAGATCTTAACAAGAATCACAAAGCTACTGCCCTAATAAAATAGCAAAAGAAAAAGCAGAAAGAATCAGATAACTTTCCAGATGCAGATAGCAAACACATCTCAAGAATAAACGTAGACATGGTAGGCTGGTTCAGATGAACAATCCAACTTTACTTTATGCAGGTCTTTCAAAGTTTTGTATCATGTGCAATTTGGAACCTTACAATGTATCATTTAATCATGTTACTAATCACCAGAAAATCAATCATCTGGCCTTTTCTTATTTCCTGTTCCTCCTGCGTTTAGCTTTATTAGGAATGAAGGAAGCAAAGCTCCTCAGATATGTATTAAACTAAGAACACCAGGATATAACCTCCACAAATAACATCACTGAACCAAGAATGCCATTATATGACCTCCACAAATAAGAAGCTGCAATACTACCAACAAAAGAAGGAAAATAGACGAACTAGAAACATAAGAGTCTCTTCTAAATGCCACAACCTAATTCATCATGATCCTTAGAAGACTAAAGAATATTTTCTTCTATGAGGCTGTTGAAATTTTCTAGTATCTTAAAAGCAACTAGAAACCTAGCCGTCTTATCCTCATACAAGAGGCACAAAGTCACAGACCACAGGAAGGCATATTGACAGACTAAATGGAAAATTCTACATTTCAAGCAAACATAGAGAACAATATGAGAACTCTTTCCTTCTCATTTCATCCAGTTCTTCTTTTTCCCTCATGGTTATTTTGCCATTTTCTTTCTTGGGGGGGAGGACTGTCTTTCCAACACACTCACATGAGCTGAACGATTCGCTGAAAGCGAAATTAATGAAACATCAAGCTCTTGGTTGTCCAACGAATGAGACAACTTGAATGATGTTGTAATGGACTCTGTACCATGTAACAAAGTTACCTGACATCATTGTGATCGTAACACAATGAGAACACATGGCAGTAATAAAAGAAATTAAGGCTACAAAGAAGCCAAGAGGACTGGGAGGTACTTAATTCCTCAAGCTGAATCATTAAATCTAGTTTAAATGAAAATATAACTGGCTCAAAGAACTCAGTGCACGCTAAAAGAGAAAAATGGAAAGTCCTAACATTTAACTCTAGTCTCTACCTATTACCAAGAAGTTATCATCCTTTCCTTTTTATACTCCTTTCAGTTTTAACTCTACCGTCTTCCGAATGACTCTTTTTCCCATTACCATAGGATCCCAAAATCAAACAGTAACAGCCTAGCTGTTACTCTTCTCCCCCTACTCCTTTCTTTCTCTATCTTTGAACTGAACGCTAAACTCTGATAGCCCCTTCAACTGTCTGCTCCTTCCAAATATCACACCAAGCAAAATCATAGACATGGAAGCACGCGGCATGCTCACATCTCATCCCTACAAAAAACTTCATGAAAGAAATAATGGACCTAGCAGTTACCATCGTTTTTCTTCTCTCAACACTGCAGGTCCAATCTTTTCTTTGCATTATGATGTTATTCTTGAGTCTGAAGAGTTTAACCTGACTATATATACACTTACTTTCGTGCTTTTGCTCTCTTTAGAAAGCACAGCATTTGATATTATTTCTTACATTTTTCTTCAAATAAAGATTCTTATTTAGTCAAATGTCTTCAGTGGAGTTGAGATATTTATTTCTAGATATTTCATATGCAGAACCAAATTTCAGAAGAAGCGGTCACATACCTACTACTATTCCCAGAAAAAGGCTGCAAAAAAGTTAAGATTAATCTTTAAAAGAAAATTCCTAGTTGTTTTAAATCTCCAGCTAAATTTCAAAGCCGTTTCATTTTGACCTCTAACAAGCTCAAGATTGCTCCTTTCATCAAAACCTGTTCACCATTTGCAGACTAAGCAAATTTGTAGTGAACCAGGCTCACTGACCATTTTTCAATATTCACTATCCCCTCACTGAAACCTGGATATAGAAAAAGGTGAAAAGAAAAAACAACAGCAAAATTGTGCGATCATGCCCCAAAAGAACAGCCTGAATTTTTCACACTTCCCACACCATAACTAAGGAATCATGTAGTCTGGCAACTAAAAAGGATAATCTTCAAAAAAAAACATCAGTTAATTTCATTTTATTAATTCTTTTAACCTCACCCCACCCACGAGGAACAATAGACGGAAAAAAATCTTATCCACGCCTGTGGCAGCAAGAACAAACGAATGATGTCCTTAGTGAAGAGCCCCACATTGGTGCTTTAAGGGATGGGTGGTCTATTTAATATGGCTTGAACAATAATCACCTCTTAAGCTAGCTTTTGGATTCAAATTAGGCCCAGTGTCCATTTCTTTAATACCCTTTAAAAAAAATTTAATCACTTTAACCATAGTTACTTCTCTTTTCCTGACGGCAGTTTTCAAACCAGCTTGCGCACTATTCCAATGGGTACCGACTACTTACAACCAACACAGGTACCAGTTAACTCTGCCCACAAAGGTCTAGGCTTAGGTAAATGGAAAGAAATCACCTAGTGCTTTTCTGAACCTAAGAACTCAGAATTCTCCGGATGCTAGGCCACACCCGCCCTTGTGCCACTTAACCATAGTTACTTAATACATCAATTTGTCACTATTGCTGCTTCTTTTGAAAGTTAAATTAACTTTTTGGAGCCAAAACTTGTACAGCCAAGTTTTTTAATCAAAAGTATTCTCACACAAGCCTTACTCGCCAAAGCACCAGCCAATTTGAAAAATTAAGGGGAAAAAAATCACCAAAATTAAACATTCGAAAAAAATACAGAAGAAAATAAACGAACAGAAAGAGTTGGAGATAGTACCAGCGCTGCAAGAGGTAGGAGGATCTTTCTGGAGATCCTTGAGCTCTTTCAGAATCCGCTTGGATGCCATATCCCTAACCAAATCCCTAATTACCAAAATTAAACAAAAAAAAAAACCTAAATCAGCTCGAGCTTTACGAAGATTTTACATCTACTACGAGATATGTATACAAATTTACAAATACTAGAACTAGAATTGAGAGAGGATAAGAGAATTTGTTTTACCTCAGAGATCCTCCTACTCGATTTCTGCAAAAAAAGGGAGAGTTCAAACGGTGAAATAAGAGACGGTTTTTATAGACAGAAGAAGAAAAATTTATGCAGCAGCGAACCGTTTCGTAAGTTTGGTGGGTAATTTAATCTACGACCCCCAATGTTTTGTCAATGTGACACTTTGATCCCGTCAAAGCGCTGCAAACGTTTAGATATCTTTATTTGCGTCAATACAACATCAACATCAGAGTGGCGCAGCGGAAGCGTGGTGGGCCCATAACCCACAGGTCCCAGGATCGAAACCTGGCTCTGATATGTCTTTAGAGAGCCAATGCTCCCTCTTCGCCCGCTTTTTTTAGCTCCTTTTTTACTTCTTTTTACTATTTGAATCCTTCTTTTCGTATTCTTGTATTTTGCTTATTCTTATATTTTTATTACTACCTTTATTTCTTTTGCTTCGAATATTTTATTTTGATGTTGTTATTACTTATTACTTTTATATTGTCTCCGCCGTCATATTTCTTTTCAATATGGCTGTAATTTCGGGATTATCGCATACAACCTCTCTATCTTCAAAAGTTAAGGTTAAAATTTGCATACACGCCATCCTTCTCATACTCCACTTATGAGATTTCTACTGGATTTGTTGATGTTGTTATTTATTCCAAAAAAGAAAACTACAATTCTATATGCTATACACCCTATTTATAAATTATAAGAAAGGGAAAAATAGACCTAGTGATTTGTTAGCTAAATTCCGCATGCCTATTTTTTTCAAAGTAAAATACAATATTCAGCAACTTATATGCGCTATTATTAACAAACACACAAAGAAAGTATGAAACATCATTTTCAAACATTTATACTAGCGACATATGCTACTTTAATTGCCCACTAAAATTACCACGTACACCTTCAACAGAAGAGTATAATGGTTATGTTATTATTGTTGTTGTAGTAGTACTAATATTTTTCGAAACAAAATTACTAGCAAAATAAGTCGTAGGCGTTTGGACATGAATTCCAAAAAAAAAATCAAATTTGGAATTTCATTAAAATTTGAATTGAAGATGAAGTTGTGTTTGGTTATAATTTTTGCAATATATTTGGATGCCTTTTTTTTCAAAATCATGAAATATGATATATACCCCACAACTTGTAAAAATATCAAAACATCCCAATTTGATTATCCTACTTGAAATAAACAATCAGATTGCTATTGCTTAACCGTTATCATATTCTGCTTTACTGCAATACACAGAAGATGCAAAATCAACTAGGACTGATGTTCCACCATTAGTCGCCAAAGATGTATCTGCCAAAGATGAAAAACTGATGGGGTCATTTTATAAATTTTAAAAATGTAGGGTAAATTAGTAATAGGGGTGACCCCTCCATAAAGCAACCGCTTTAGGCCCCATATTTGTTACACCGAATAGACTATGTATATATTTAAAAAAGAGTTTTGTAAGGCGAAGAAGTTTGATTTCTTTCTTTAACAAATATAGAGAAGAAGAATTCGCTACTGCTATGATTTCTACAAAGGAAACTGCACTTGAAATGAACATCGAAAACCGAATTTCGTAAGAAAAGTGCGATAGATAGGAAGTAACAATTTGATGCAAATGTTGATAATGAAATCTCAAAATCTTTCGAAAAGTCCTTTAAAGTTAATTACATTTATACATAATAAACGAAGCTATTTTTTCACTTCAAAATAGATTCGAACAATTCGAAGCATATGAAAATATTTTTAGTTTTCTATTTGGCTGTAAAAACTAAGATCACTAAATGTTGAAAATTTGAAAAAATATAGCCTTAATCTTGAATGTTCCTTAAAACATAAATAATCAATTCGATATTGATGGTTTAGATTTATTTTCTGAATTAAAAGTATTAAGGAAAATAGTACAATTAGAAGACAACAGTTTAATTGATACACTTAATCAAATAAAAGAGATAATTCTTTTTCAAATGCCTAAATTGCTTATGGAATAATGTATATAACTCATGTTGTCGTTGCTTCAGCGGAAAGAAGTTTTCAAAATTAAAATTGATAAAATCTTACCTAAGAACAACAATGTCACAAGAATGTTAAATGGATTAACTATATTGTCAATTGAGAAATATACTTATGCGGAGTTATCGATTATAAGAAAAGTATCAATAACTTTGTATATGAGAAAAGCTAAAAAAATAGACATCAAATAAATAATAAAAAAATTTAAAAAGCTAAGGCCCCTCATAAAGTTTGGTTTTAGGCCACAAAATTCGTCGGGCCGCCCCTGATTGGTAAAACTAAAAACTAGCAAATTCTCATTTTCAATTGAAAAAGTAGGGAGAACCAGTTTGTCAAATTTAAAAATGGATTTTCAAGTGAAAAAGGAAAAATCGGTAAGAATGGGATAACGAAACATTATTTCAAAAAAAAAATTGAAAAAAAGAAAAAATTTTGTATGTCCAAACGGGCTCGTCAAATTTTCAAAAGACGAGGTACCTAAATGCTACTTAAACAAACATCTTGGGTGGCTAAGGAAATTCTGATAAAACACGGGGTAGATAGATCGGACATATGATTCAGTTTTTAAGACTTGACCGTACTCTTACCTGTCCTCGTCTTCTTCTTCAGAAAACTCCTCTGTAAACCTGAAATTGCCTTACTTCGTTGACCCGAATTTGATCCAAAATCCAGATCCGAGAAAATGAACGACACAGATGTCTCAAAGCAGATCCAGCAAATGGTCCGATTCATTCGCCAGGAAGCTGAAGAAAAAGCCAATGAGATTTCCGTTTCTGCTGAAGAAGTAATCCCTATTTATTTTATTCTACAACATCAAATTTAATTGAATTGAATCATTTCTGTTTTTCTCAATTGTTCCGAGTGACAGGCGGATCCAGAATTTAAATTCAGTTACTATGAATAGCGCTGCATTCACTAATATTTGTGATAATAAATGTAAATATATACTTTTCAAAATTCAATTATATATAAAGTTCGAGTCTAAAATGTTTTCACTTTTCGAAAAGTTTCAAACTTTCTATTGTCTGCATTGTTCTGAGCTAGAAGCAGATCCGAAATTTACAATTAGTTAGTACAAATAGCACTGCAGTTACCAATTGTAAATTATTTATATAGTTTGACTGTAAAAGCTGTAAATGTATACGTTTTAAAAAGTTTCGACTTTCCAAATATATAGTTGGAGTTGAAAAGTGAGTAATGTATATATATATTTTCGAGTCTAAAAAGTTTCAATGTTTACTTTTCGGAAAGTTTCAAGCTTTCTATTTTCTGCATCTAGCATTGTTCTGAGCTAGAGGCAGATCCGAAATTTAAAATTAGTTAGTACAAATAGCACTGCAGTTACCAATTTTAAATTATTTATATAGTTCGAGCGTAAAAGTTGTAATGTTTATTTTTGAAAAAGTTTCGACTTTCCATATATATAGTTGGAGTTGAAAAGTTTTAATTATATATATAGTTTAAGTTGAAAGTAGTGGTGCGTCTAAAACTCACTGACAGAGTTGGATCTGCCTATATTAGGAGTTTTATAAAGGTAATTAGAGAAATAATGTACAGGTGGATGTGATTGTTTCTTAGGAATTCAACATCGAGAAGTTGCAGCTAGTGGAAGCAGAGAAGAAGAAGATCAGACAAGAGTACGAGCGCAAAGAAAAACAAGTGGATGTTCGCAAGAAGATGTAATGTTGCTTTTTTTTTTTTTTGTCTGTGTGTGTGTGTGTGTTATAATTTTCTGTTTTAGGTGAAATTGGCTTGAAGAAAAAAAATCGATTTTATGTTTGGGAATTCATATTGCTTGTCAAATGCTTCGATTTGATTTCCTGTTAGCCATCAAATGCCATTGTGCTCTGACTGTGAATAGAAGATATTCAGTAGTACTGTTACTGTAACAGCAATCAAAAGCCATTGTATTGCAACTATAAATAATGCTATTGCTTGATTTTGGATGAAAAAGATTGTTTTTTTTTTATAACCATAAGACGATAAAATGATTGTATTTATTTGGTGTCTTAGCTGTATGATGTTTGTTTGCAGTTTGAAGATTCCTTTTTCTTATTGGTATATCCAGAGATCTTCTTGTTTTGCTCCATGCTAGGTCCGGAACATCATGGAAAAGCTTCCATAAAGAACGGAAATAAAGTTTACTAATGGCTTCTTGGGAGCTTTTGTGCTTTGACATATTCCAGTGCTGTAGTCTGCTACCATTAATACCTTTTTTTAAACTCCTTTCTTGCTAGTTAGAGTATAGTTCTCTTTTGGAATAAGCCACATGGTTAAATTAGGTATGAAGTTGATTTCCTTACAATGTTCGTTTCTGTAGACTGTAGCAAGCCAGATCATATTAACTTCGGTGCGAAGTTTAACTTTAAATTGCAATTGATTTGCCAACATAACATCTTATCTAATTTGAACTTCAATCGGCCGACATGGTCTTTAAAGTTTATTTAAAATGTATTTCTTGCAGCGAGTACTCCATGCAACTCAATGCCTCTCGGATCAAAGTTCTTCAAGCTCAGGATGACTTGGTTAACACCATGAAGGAGGCAGCAGCAAAGGAGCTTTTACAAGTTAGCCATCATCACAACGAACTCGTAGAGGTTATTCTTCTTCACCACCAAGACAGTTATAAGAAGCTTCTGCATAATCTTATTGTTCAGGTATGTTGGACGTTAATCTACGCCATTTTCTCTTCTTTTTTCCTGGACTTCCCGAATTAAACTATGAGATCTTAGAAATTGAGCAGGAATATTTTATGGAAGACATACTATTTAGAAGAAACCAATATAGTCATCTGTTGATGTGGTTATATTTATCATGTTATCTGAACTCTTGAGCACCAGATTATGAATTCTTATTTGGGTTCTATATTATCTACTGTACTTTACAATGGAATGAGAACTTGAAAATTGTGAATATACCTGCTTCAAGTTCAGACCGGATTTAATATATATTAAGTCTAGGGCTACCAGAGTCATCTTATAGTTTTAGATACCAAAAAATGATTGGAAAGCGTGACAAGGAACTTTCACTGGTACCTTACCTTCAAGCTGGATACTTCTAAAATTGAGGCTTGACTAAACAGAATCGAAAATTGTAGCACGC